TGTGTGTGTGTACCGTGTGTGTATGTACCGTGTGTGTGTGTACCGTGTGTGTACCGTGTGTGTGTGTGTGTACCGTGTGTGTATGTACCGTGTGTGTGTGTACCGTGTGTGTGTGTACCGTGTGTGTATGTACCGTGTGTGTACCGTGTGTGTGTGTGTACCGTGTGTGTGTGTACCGTGTGTGTACCGTGTGTGTGTGTACCGTGTGTGTACCGTGTGTGTATGTACCGTGTGTGTGTGTACCGTGTGTGTACCGTGTGTGTACCGTGTGTGTGTGTACCGTGTGTGTACCGTGTGTGTATGTACCGTGTGTGTACCGTGTGTGTGTGTACCGTGTGTGTGTGTACCGTGTGTGTGTGTACCGTGTGTGTACCGTGTGTGTACCGTGTGTGTGTGTACCGTGTGTGTACCGTGTGTGTGTGTACCGTGTGTGTACCGTGTGTGTATGTACCGTGTGTGTGTGTACCGTGTGTGTGTACCGTGTGTGTACCGTGTGTGTGTGTACCGTGTGTGTGTGTGTGTACCGTGTGTGTGTACCGTGTGTGTGTGTGTGTACCGTGTGTGTGTGTACCGTGTGTGTGTGTACCGTGTGTGTACCGTGTGTGTGTACCGTGTGTGTACCGTGTGTGTGTGTACCGTGTGTGTGTGTACCGTGTGTGTGTGTGTGTACCGTGTGTGTGTACCGTGTGTGTGTGTGTACCGTGTGTGTGTGTACCGTGTGTGTGTGTACCGTGTGTGTACCGTGTGTGTGTGTACCGTGTGTGTGTGTGTACCGTGTGTATGTGTATGTACCGTGTGTGTGTGTACCGTGTGTGTATGTACCGTGTGTGTACCGTGTGTGTGTGTGTACCGTGTGTATGTGTATGTACCGTGTGTGTGTGTACCGTGTGTGTATGTACCGTGTGTGTACCGTGTGTGTGTGTGTACCGTGTGTGTGTGTGTACCGTGTGTGTATGTACCGTGTGTGTGTGTACCGTGTGTGTGTGTACCGTGTGTGTATGTACCGTGTGTGTACCGTGTGTGTGTGTGTACCGTGTGTGTGTGTACCGTGTGTGTACCGTGTGTGTGTGTACCGTGTGTGTACCGTGTGTGTATGTACCGTGTGTGTGTGTACCGTGTGTGTACCGTGTGTGTACCGTGTGTGTGTGTACCGTGTGTGTACCGTGTGTGTATGTACCGTGTGTGTACCGTGTGTGTGTGTACCGTGTGTGTGTGTACCGTGTGTGTGTGTACCGTGTGTGTACCGTGTGTGTACCGTGTGTGTGTGTACCGTGTGTGTACCGTGTGTGTGTGTACCGTGTGTGTACCGTGTGTGTATGTACCGTGTGTGTGTGTACCGTGTGTGTGTACCGTGTGTGTACCGTGTGTGTGTGTACCGTGTGTGTGTGTGTGTACCGTGTGTGTGTACCGTGTGTGTGTGTGTGTACCGTGTGTGTGTACCGTGTGTGTGTGTACCGTGTGTGTACCGTGTGTGTGTACCGTGTGTGTACCGTGTGTGTGTGTACCGTGTGTGTGTGTACCGTGTGTGTGTGTGTGTACCGTGTGTGTGTAACGTGTGTGTGCACTGTGCGTGTGTGTGTGTACCGTGTGTGTGTGTACCGTGTGTGTACCGTGTGTGTGTGTACCGTGTGTGTGTGTGTACCGTGTGTATGTGTATGTACCGTGTGTGTGTGTACCGTGTGTGTATGTACCGTGTGTGTACCGTGTGTGTGTGTGTACCGTGTGTGTGTGTGTACCGTGTGTGTACCGTGTGTGTGTGTACCGTGTGTGTGTTGAACTTATTTCGCCACCGCACGTCGCCAACCGTGGCTAATCGAGCTTCGAGCCACCCCATCGCCGTGGAAGTCCTTGTCCGTGGTTGGGTTCAAAATAGAACACCCGCGTGTCCTGTGGCCCCCGGGATGGATTTTCGCGAGCACAAAGCGGACACCTCGCTTCAAACAAACAAACATCAACCGAGGCGCAATGTCCCCGGGCTGAGCGAGGATTCTTCCCTCGTGAAGCTCAGCGCACGTGTCGCTGACCCCCCACCCGCCCCACCTCGACGCACAACGCACGACTCGGAAGACGCAAAACAAATCGCGTTGCGGCAAAGCGCTCTTCCTCCGAGGCGAGCGAGCGGGAGGGAGTGGTACCTATTTTATCGACCCCCCCCCCCCCCGGGAAGGACTGATGGGCTGAGTCAACCCCCGGCCAGTATTTGAACTCCGTAAGACCTTCCGCTTGGGCTGAGCCACCCAACACCTGCGCACGTTCGACGTGTACGAGCTGCTCTTGTGTGACCAACAGTGTGATTGGCTGCATGTGTGTTGAACTTCTTTCGCACCGTACGCGGCTCAACCGCACTAATCGGAGGCGATTGTCGGCGCAGCCAACCGTGAGGAGCGGCGGTGCAGGGGTTGGCGCGCGGCGCTACGAACCCGGCGACCCGAGTTCGATTCTGAGCTTTTAGCTTATTTTTCAGAAGCGACCTGGCCGAACACATGATAGCTCAACGAAGTGGCTCATCATCACGTGGACGTTTATAGCAGCCAAATAGCATAAAGGCATGTTTTGAAATGTGGAAGGAAAAAGGGAAGGACCCGGAGAAAAAAATCCATGCGACCACCGGGAGAGAGACATGCAAGCTGGAACCGACGACCTCCTGTATACCAGGCGAGGTAGTTAACATCTCGCCACCGCTGCGCCCTAAAACTACTGATGTGTACAAATATAGCGATGGATCTCTGCTGAGTGTTGTATTGTGATGCAATGATCTAAATGCATGATTCTAACAATCAAAATGTTGGAGTGCAAACTAAAATTTGAACTATTTCACCCACAGCGAAATTTCGATTTCCTGAACTCGGAGGTAGTCGAGTGCCTGACTCAACTGTTTTGAACTTTGCATTTTCTTTATTTTAGAAAAAAAAATGTTCCCCCCACCGGAGCAGTAGAAACTGCACGGACGTGGCCATCAGTTTCACGTTCCGAGTGGAAGTCACGTACGACGCTTTGAACGCAGAGTCCCTTCGAGCGGACGGCGCTGGGGAGGTCCCACCCGCGGTGGAACCGCGGAGCGGAGCGACATTTCCCCAGCATTTTGTGGAGTGCAGGAGGAGCCATCGGCATTTTCCAGAACTTTTTGTTTACTCTACCTGGGCGACCCGGGGGACTGACCGTGGTGTTAGGTCGGACAATCGCGCACCGTTTTGCATGTGAGCAGAGCAGGCGTAGTCCGGGTTTTGACGGTTGTACCCACCGTAGTGGTGGTGCATCGTAGTGTACAGCTCGTCGAGATGAGTCGATTGCCGCATCGCCAACCATCAACAGACTGAAAATGACTGCATCACGGACATCGTGCGAGAGCCGGGGTTCTATGGTACCCCGGGGTACCGCCATAAGGTTCAAATATCCCCCGTGTAGCCTTTGGGGCAAGTGCTGTTAGCGAGTAGCACCTATGGAGGCCGGCACGGCACGTGACGGGGTGGGTGGCCAGCACCACGCCTGGCCGCCTTTGTGTCCCCAGTAGCAATGTTTATTACACACCGCACTAGGGGAGGAGGCCCAGATAATCGTCACTGGTGTTGGTGGCCGTGAGCGGGATTCGAACTCGGGGGTCGCCGGGGTTCGTAGCGCAGCGCGCTAACCGCTGCACCGCCGCTCCCCCAGCAAAAATCTGGCCGCCGCCCGATGATGCCGATTGTAACTACGGTACTGGCGGAACGTCGTAAATGTTGTGGATTTTCTCTCCAACACACCGGTGTGATGTACTCGCAATGTTCTGTCCACGTGACAAACCTTACTAATTGGCTGTGTCGGGTGGTCGCGTGTTTAACGACACATTTATATTTACGCGATCTAAACCCCCCCGCCCCCCCCCCCAAAAAAAACATCTATTATTATGTTATGGAAAATACCACGGCGTGTCCAGCACCCGCCGATACACAAACGATCGCCGCTCGCAACGCGCGCCACCTCTGCGAGAGTCGACGAGGTTCGGTCGCTCACTTTGAACGGACAACGTGAGCGACGCTGCAAGGTCAAAGGAGGCCTTTTCGTTTGAAGCGAGCTGCCAAGTATTTCGCGTCGGTTTCAAAGTCGCGTGGCTGGAGCACAGCGAGGGGGCGAGGGGGTCGGCCGTCGTCTCGTTTGCGAAGCCCCGTTGCTTCGGACAATGGCGAGTGAATGTTTGCGTGCGGGCTCCGTGCGCTTCGTCACAGTTCTCATGAACACCCCCTTACCCCCCCCCCCTAAGTAAGCCCCCCCTTACCCAACCCCCCTTAAGCGCCCCCCACTAACCTCCCTCACCGCCCCCCCCCTTATCCCTCCCTAACCCCTCTCTAACCCCCCTTTCCCCCTAACCCTCCCCTTATCCAACCCCCCCCCCGACCCCCACCTCCCCAACCCCCACCTCCCATCCCTACCGATATGCATGGCCGTTTTCCAGCGGATTTGGGGGAAAGGATTCCGCGATTAATATTAGCGCTGTGTGTAAACTCGTTCACGCACGTAGGCGCTTGGCATGCGCGCTCGTTTATAAACCCCGCGCTCCCAGCAACTCTCACACGGGAAAGCTATATTTATTTCTGATTTTACCAGGTAAGGGTCCCATTGAGCAATGTAGTTGTACGGTAGCTCTCTTTTCAGAAGCGACGTGGCTGCAACAGATGATAACTCAAGGAAGATGGCTCATCGTGTGGAAATGTACAAGCAGGCAAATACTCTAAACGCACGTTGGTTATAAATGTGGAGGGGAAAAACCGGAGTGCCAGGAGAAAAATCCACGCGACCACAGGGAGAGTGAACACGCAAATTCCAAATACACAACAGGCATCAGCGTCGGGGTCGAACCCACGACTTTCTGAATACCAGGCGAGGTAGGTACACATCTTGCCACAAAGGCGCCCAATGCACTCGGCCTCACCTATGAGTAATAGAGGCGACACGACATACTGTGGATTTTCAAAAAGATCTGAGCGTGTGGGAGGGTTGGGAGATGGGTCAGGTTGACGCAGCTTCAGGTGTGATGGGAGTCCGCGACTCTCGCACCACCGCTCGCTGACGGAGCGATGGAATTCGCAATCCTCGTAGCCCAGAATCACCGCACCTCCTGCCAGTTTTTTTCGGTTGTCGAGTTCAAACACGTCGCAAGGGTTTAAGTGTGGTCTAGTTTGTGGGATCAGATGCGTGATGATCCCAATGGTAGTCTAATTCGGTTAATCGTACGAATAAAAGCCTGTACAAAACTAAGAGTTATTTTATGCAGCTACACGGCCGTGAGCCGGGGCTATGTGAACTCGTTTTTAATACGCAGCAAGCTCAAGGCTCAATAACTTTCAATGTTTAGAACACTTTTTTTTTTACAAATTAAAATATTCGCAGCTTTCCAAAATGCAAATATTCAGAGTACACGAGGGGCAAGAGAGCATATCACGGTTTCAAATGTAAAGTGTTTATCCCACCGTGAAATGCCAACCCCAGTGTTCTGATGGGAAGTGACCGCATTCGACTGAATTAAAAAGGAGCATCTGCAACAGGATGAGAGGAGGGCCCAGAGATGGGGTCTGGAAGGCTGCCACCTCGGGTACGGGGAGCGAGAGATCGAGTCGTCGCCACCTTTTCCACACCGAGCAAACCTGCACTCGTGTCTCCGTCGGTCTGGGCTCGTCAACACTGTCCGGTGATAACGTTCACCACAAAACCAGTCGTGGATCTCAAATGCATTCCTGCCACCCGGACACAGATGCGAATTTCCCAGACTGTGCGGATTTGACCCAGATTATTTTTGCCTAGTCTTGCCATCGCCTCCTGGAGTGGAGCAATTAGACAATTAGCCTTGGGCTCTTCGGTGTAGTAATTAGCATGCCCACAACAAGTTAACTACAGAGTTAAAGAACCGGGCTTCCAAGAGGCCTGGTTAATAGTACAGGGCACGATATGGCTTCTCACCGCACGCCCTTGCTGCTGAAAGAAATGGGTTGAGATGGAGCCTTAACCATTCCACTGAACCAAGGCAGTGAGGTGACAGAGAGAGAGGACACACGCCTATCCTGTCAGTAGACGGTGGAACATGGCACCTCCGATTAGCACGGTTGGCTAACGTACAGTGAGAAATACATTAATACGAAGAAGTGCGATTCGGTGAAAAATGTCAAAGAAAGTCAGGGTGCAGAAACCCAATTGACTCTACCCATCATCAAGAGGGCGCTGAGTCGTCAGACGTGGGAGCAATACTGTGCCGCTCGCCACCCAGGTGTGCTGTGTGACAAGCGACCCCGATTAGTATAGGGCCAAATGATCGCCTTCCTCCAGGTCAGGCTCCTCACCAGACTTGTCCGTCTACAAAGAGCCACCGGCTGCCTTCCCGGAGCCCCGTGCTCGCTCCGACCTCGGAGTCTGCTCTCACGATGCTCCCCGAGCGTCTTCTCAGACGTCGCCGCTTCTCAGTCCTCTCTCTCCAATAAATCTGCACGGCAATGCGGGTCGCGGACACCGCAAACTGAGAGCGGGACGGTGAGGGCTGGGAGGTGCCGCTGCCGCGCGGCGTGTGCGTCCCACGTGTTACGGGTGGCTTCTGGTCGCCCCACGTCGCGCTGCGTGTGTGTGTGCGTGACGCGGTGCAGAGGCACCCAGAGACATGGGAGCTTCAAGCAGCACGAACCATGATCCACACTGCGGAAGGCCACTCCCCTTAACCGTGATTTGTTCATCCGCGCCACGTCCCCCTCCCTTCAAACCGCGGATGATCGGGCCTCCGTCGGCGTGGGGCACGAGATAGCCGTGAAAATGAGCGTAGTCATACGTTTTGTGTGTCGGTGACGAGCGGTGGCGAGCATCAGGCAGCGACTGTCAAGAGCTGTAAGAGATAATAATGAACACGTTTCCTGATTTCAGCAAGGCTACGAGGGCTCAGAGGGAAAGAGGCGATGGAGGGAGGCAATTCCAAAGTTGAGCAATGCGAGGGGAGGAACAGAGAGAGAAAGTGAGAGCGGGGGGGGTGTTGTGACCTACAGTGCCGTTTGTTGCTGGGTGATTGCCACGTGGAGGTCTTTGGGCCCGTGCCCAGCAACTGTGCTTAAAAAAAAATCAGCACGGATTTCTTATTTCCGCACTGCAGGATCGTGAGAGATGGCGGCAGCTTAGGGGAGCCTTCATCCAGCAGTGGATTGACTGTGGCCGGTGATGATGATGGTGATTTCTCAGTTCTGGTGACTCCGCACCAACCTGTGGAGCGGAGGGACGCGGGCCAGCGGGTAGCGCGTTTGCCGCTCGTTGCAGGGGTTCTCGGTTCGAACCCAGCAGGCTGCCCTGGTTATGGCTGCGTATGCGTCAACCGTAAAATGCTGCTACACGCCGTCTGCTTCACAATCGATGTTAAAGATTCCGTGATGTAGGCTATTGTGTCCCAGTGTCACATTCAAAATTTTCCCAAATTCCAAAAACGAAAAGGAAGATTATTCAAGTTGGTTACACACAGCAGCAATAATCATTTCCCCCCTCCTGGCAGACTAATGTCCCGATTACAGGCGAGGCGCTGGGTCACAATGTGCCCACAGGGAATGGCTGCCTCGGAGGCGGAGTGGGGGGTCGCGCTTTCACCCGTGCTGCGACGAGGTGCGACGACGTAGAGCGCTCGGAGACGCCCGGGCGGCGATGCGTCGAAAACCACTCCACGCGTAACGTACGTGCGTACGTATGCTGGACTTATTTTGCACTGTACGTAGCCAAGCGTGCTAAGCGGAGGTGCGCCGGGGAAGGAGAACTAAGCTAAATATAAAAAAAGCAGTTCTAAAGAAATGAGTTTTCAATCTTCATGATTTAAAAGTGCACAGCTCCAGTGGCTTCCTAATATCAGGAGAGCGTTCCAGACGGCCGCAGAAGCGCATCTGAGAGCGCGCGATGCGGCGACCGTCTTTGTTCAATGGCCAGCAGCCAAAAGACGCTGATGCGCTGATCACCGGCGTCCGCGCGATGGTTTATTGTTCCTTGGACGCGATCAGCCAAGGTGGTATTGTGGTTCACTCGCGGCGAGCACTTTGTGCGTGTGACGAGCGCGACCTCGCAACGTGTTCGTTCGGAAACCGGGAGGAAAAGCAGCTCGGCGAGCACCGGACGGACACGTCGTCGATCTCGCAGCGCCCGTCACGACACGTGCCAGAGAGTTTTTGTGACGCCAGCGTCGTGTCCCTCCCCGTGCCGCGTGCAGCTCCCGCCGTCGCGATGCCAGCGCCGGTGAACGTGAAGCTGGACTACGTCCCGCCCGACGGGGGCTGGGGCTGGGCCGTCCTCGTCGGCTCCTTCATCTCCATCGGCTTCTCGTACGCCTTCCCCAAGGCCATCACCGTCTTCTACAAGGAGATCCAGGAGGTGTTTGATGCCTCCTACAGCGAGATCGCGTGGATCTCCTCCATCATGCTGGCCATCATGTACGCGGGCGGTGAGTCTCGCCACGCGCCGGGCCCGGTCGGGGGGCACGCGCCTGGCCGGCGTAAGTCCGTTAAATGCGGCCAAGTTTCCCGTCGTCAAATTCTTGCCGTTGCCGCTGGTCTGGCGTTCGCTCAAACGTGCGGTGGCAAGCCGCCTCGCGGGGCGCGAGCGCGATGGGCATTGGCTGCGGTGTTGGGAGGTGGCGGTGCGATCCACGCAGATCTCGGGGCGAATTCATCGCGATCGCCCGTGGCTTAGACGAAAGGTGTAATTTGTGCACACGGACAAGGACAATGGGATCCACATGAAATCGTACGAGAGGAAATTTCCACTGCACACATCGGAATGTTAAGTCTCTCCACAACGTAAGCTTCATGTAAAGCGTTTTGAGGCTTTGTGCGAAATGCGCTGTTGTATAAAACCGAGATTATTATTTTGGGAGGAAACCACGGAGACAACCCATGCAGCACAGGGGGAGAGAAACACACAAACTGCCGAGCCGGGAATCGAACCCTCGCTATTGTTGGTGAATTGGCATCGTCGGCGTCGAGCGGTGCCCGCGGCAGCCTGGCTCGTAGAGGATGAGGCCGGACAAGGTGGAGGACAAGGTGGAGGACAAGGTGGAGGACAAGGTGGAGGACAAGGTGGAGGACAAGGTGGAGGAGGGAGCCCAGCGCGAAGGCTGTGGCGGGCACAGCACGTGCTGTGCCCCCGTCGCCCCGGGACGTTCTGTGCCCTTCCCGCACGCTGACGCCCGCAGTCCGCCGTCAGGTTTCCGCCTTCTCAAATTGCTGGACGCCAACACGGAGTCGCACAATTGCGTCAATCCCGATGATGCAACGGCGTCCCAAACGAACGGCTCCGTAAATAGCAGCGCAGCACCTCCCCCCCCGCCCCGCCCCCCCGGTCCCGTTCCCCTTGCTCCGCACGTGCTGCCTCGGAGGAATTTGTCCGTGACAGCCCCAGTGCAGTCGCCCGTCGTGGGGACCGGCGGTGCAGCGGTTAGCGCGCTACGCCGCGCTGCGAACCTGGCGACCCAAGTTCGATTTCCGCTCACGGCCAACACCACAGTGAGGATTATCTGCACCGGTCCTGGGCCTCCCCTTAGGTAGACTCAGTCTCAAATGAGCACCCGGCACGATGTGTAAACATCGATACGAGGGTGACAAAGACGGCCGGGAGTGGTGCTGGCCGCCCACCCCCTCGCGTGCCATGCCGGCCTTCATAAGTGCCCGCGAAAAGCACTTGCCCCAACAGTCTGTCTAGGCCATGCGGGGGATCTTTGCAGTCACCCGTGACAGCCCCAGTACAGTCGCCGACGCCAGTGCGGTTTAAACGCTCCCGCGTACTGCCAGGGTGAAACGTAAATATCCACGTTTCCTTTCTTTGTGTCAGGCGAATATCTGACGAGAGTGCGGAGCGACGAGAGTGTGGCAACGCACGACTCTTCACTCCGGAGAGCCCCAACGTTGCGTCAAATGAAGCGCACCAGCTCCAGTGTTACAATCCTCGGGATCGTGAAATGCAGCGGCGTCCTCGAACACGATAAGCGTTCTGTGAAACGCCGGGTGTTGAAATGATTGAAACGACGATTGACGTGGGTCACGCGAGGACACTCCTTTCGGCGTTGGCCCACCAGGGAGGGGGGGGGGCGAACCACGTGGCCCTCCCCCCACGCAGACCCGTGACAAATGTTTAAAATTATCCCCCCCGTCCCTGTGTGGATTTCTTCCAGGTACTACTGTACTCCAGTTTCCTCCCGCAAGTAAAGCGCAGTCTTAGTCACGAGATAACGGTTGGTGGATTGCCACAAGATGGGGGGGGGGGGGGGGTTGGTGGATTTGGGGTTGTGAATCGTTATCGGCTGCTGCTATCAGCAGCGTCATTTTAATTGTCGCTATCTTCACCACCACCATCATCATCTTTGTCATCATTTTCATAACTGGCAACATTGTTTGTAACGAGCGCTAAAGCCGCCTTTGACTTAGCGCTACCATCGGCTTTGGGCATCTCACTCGTTGGGAAGAAAACAACAGGGCTCTTTACCAATGGGAATTGCACGTTCATGAGCGTTTCGCTTGAGGTTTCATGGCATTTAGGACTTGCAGCTGAACTCGCCCTACGAGTAACCGTGGCCATACCTTTGCGGGCCCACACCCAACACGTGGGATTTTATATTGTTTTAGGTGTGAGCATAAACTTGACGACAGCTGTAGCCCTCGTAAAAAATCATCATAATCATCATCGTCGTCAATCGGAATGGCTTTTTCCATTAAATACAAAAAATGAGGGATGCTTTTCGGACATTCCAACTCGACTCATCACCTAAAAACATACACCACCGGTGTCACCTTTTTCGCAAAAAAAAGGTAATTATAAAGGACATAAACGTAGAAAAATATATTTCATAAATAATTAATTTGCACCAATTTTTTTGTATGCACCTCTTGAGGGAACTTGCCAAAAGATCATCCATCTGCGTGTTGGAATGACCGTCAAGGGCGTTCCTGCTGCCACTCTTGGGCACTGTCACGGGCGTTCCTGCTGCCACTCTTGGGCACTGTCACGGGCGGATGATGCAGCATTCCCACGGTGGCTCTTCTTTGATCTCGCGGCGCGTGCCGCGGATGAAGTTCAATGAACGCAGAAGTTCGGTGTCTTCCCGAGTGGCGGTTTGTTTTCTTTACACACACCGCGCCAGGTACTCATTTGAGCCCGAGTCGACCTAGGGGAGGCCCAGATATTTGTCACCGATGTTGACCGGAAGCAGGAATCGAACGCGGGTCCCTGGGTTCGTAGGGCAGCGGGCTCACCGCTACGCTACCGCTCCCCGCTTTCACAAAGATCCCCTGTGTGGCCTTACCAGACTGTTGGGGCAAGTGCTGTTAGCGAGCACCTATGAAGGCCGACACAGCACACGAGGGGGTGGGTGGCCAGAACCACGCCTGGCCGCCTTTGTCTCCCCAGTGACGATGTTTACGCACCACACCAGGTACTCATTTGAGGCTGAGTCGACCTCGGGGAGGCCCAGGGCCGGTTCAGATGATCGTCACTGCTGTTGGCCGTGAGCGGGAATCGAACGCGGGTCTCCGAGTTCATAGCGCGGTGGGCGAACCACTACACTACCGCTCCCACACACACACACACATTCTCGTGTGCACTCCCACACACACTCGTGTGCACTCCCACACACACTCGTGTGCACTCCCACACACACTCGTGTGCACTCCCACACACACACACACTCGTGTGCCAGTTGCCCGAGTGGGGCGGGCACTCGGCTGGTATCCGTCCGCGTCGCTGGGCGGGCTTCGCAAACACACAAGCCGTGTCAGCGGTGTCAGCGGCGGCGCATCTCAAAGTCACGCCAAGGTCTTTTGTTCCTCCGACCGAGCTGCAACGTGAGCCCTCTGCGCGTGACTACTGTAGCAGATTGATACAGTGGATGTTTGCGTTGCGAGGTGATGCACAAGGTTATTTGCTGCGTGCTTTTCCTCGCTACAGTCTCCTCCTCCTCCTCATTGTTATCACCAAGTTTACTTTTCCTCGAGCACCCCCCAGCTGGTCTGGCCCGACCTCACCCCCCGGACCACTCCGTCTGGACGGCGGTGAGACGCGTGGCCACGTTGCCGTCTGTCCCATCGACCGACTCGCAACACTTAAGGCGAACCTCTCTGCGCCTTCTGAATGGAACCAAGCTGCGTGGACGTCGCCAAGGATCCGGGATCGGCCGCCATTTGATAAACGAGGCCGTAGGGGCGCGGATTGTCACGTGCCTCTCTCACGGTGGCCAAGGCGAGGTGAAATCGAGTTAAGAATCTAGTCGTAAAAAAATAAAAATTCCCTTTGATCAGGCTGTAAGCAAGGTGTCACCTATAAAAAACCATAGTCCAAGACTCACCCCTTACCCCACGTGACAGGCGGAACAGTGCACAGCGAACCACACGTACAACACCGGTTGTGGGTGCTGCAGTTAGGGCCGTTAAAATAAAATAAAAATTCTGCACATTGTGCTCGAATCTCGCGAAGCAGGGAGGTGAACTCGCGGGGTCGGCCGAGGGTTCCCGTCGCCCGGGCGCTCCAAACGCCTCCGCCCTCCACTCTCAAACGTCGCCGTGCCTCCACGCTGCCAACTGGACGGCCACTTTCAAACAAAAAAAAGTTCATGGGCACAACGTGATCACTCGCCCTGGTTTAAAAAAAAGGAAAAACCCATACGCTTCGAGCGTTGCGTTTATTTAAAGAGGTGAAGAGACGCCTGCCTAATGTGCGAGTACCACCACCACCACCACCCAGTCATCGTTAATTAAAGCCCTTAAGTGCTCTCCGTAAGCCATCGTGGAAAGTTGTTCCATCAGCACTTGGCAGACGGCCCCCAACGTCGCTAAAATAGGTTGCAGATATCGTGGGCGGGTGGGTGGCAGAGTCCACAGTCCCTGCAGCGGCGGAAGCACAAAGCGCTTTGCCCACCACCTTTGAACCCTGGTCCCGGCTTGCGCTTGCACCAATGCGCAGCGCTTCACCGTCTAATCCCACGCGAGATTGCAACTGGGACGTTCTCTTTGGCGTGTAAAATCAAAAGGAAGTCAAGAGTTGATTTCGCGTAGCCAAGGTGGGAGCCCAAGCGACGGGGGGGGGGGGGGTGTCACCAAACAGCAATGAAGGAAAGATAAAAATAGTCGAATGATTAAACCATAATCTCAACTTGTAACGTGACGCAAGGAGAGAGAGCCACGCGGGGACGTGAGGGGGAACTGCAGACGAGCGGGAAAGGCAGCAATCAGGCACAATACTTGCCCAAGCTCTGTTGTCCTGTAAACATGGTATGAATCCAGATCAGCTGGAGAAAACCCCCACGCGCGGGGGGGGGGGGGGAACACTCTACCCCATACAGATGGAACAGATTGGGAAGTCTGCATTTTTTGCGGCCCTGCATTTAAGGTGACATTTGCGCGATGATGCACCAACTCTCGCCCCCACAGTGCTGGATTACAACAGGCCACGTGCACA